AAATTTCGTATTCTCCAAGATATCTCGATATATACAAAGATATCTCTTGCTCCAATGATCTAGAATAAAATTCAATCTTCTTTCCTTCAATGATAGATTCCAAAGTGGGGGGCGAAGAAAATCTAATTTAATTCCCATAATTTCATTTAAAATCGGAAAAGATATTTTTAATATATATAATTTGAAATTATCTGGATATAGAATCAAGAAAAAAGAATATCATTATCTAATCGAATTCATCGAGATGAAGATTTAAATCCTTTCCTTTAGATCCCTATTCCCCATATCGAAATGAAGAAATAAAATTTAAAATTTATGAATCAAAATATATAAAATTATGGTAACATTTATATCCCTCCCCTATTTAGATTAAGAATAAGAAAATATTTAAGATTCTAATTCTATATTTTAGATAGATCATATGAATTTAATCTTATTTAAAGATTAAAAGAAAGATATTTAATTCATCCGATATCAAAATGATATAACAAAATAAAGATTCCATAAGGAGCAAAAGAATCATTTAAAGAAGATGATTGCTTGAAGAAAGAGAATTACTTGAAAGAAAAAAGTAGTTAGGGCACGTGAGCTCGAGAAAAAAATAATATATATATATATATATATCATTTATTCTTTTCTATTTTTTTATTAGTAGAATCCATTAATCGATTTTCTCATATTTAAATAGTTTTTTGATCGAGTTTTCTAATGAACTAAAGAATCAAAAATAAATGAAATTTTGAAATTATGCTTTTAGTTTTAAGAAATTGAATTGAAATTAAAATCTGATTCGTTCTTATTCGTTCTTATGATAAAGAAAATCCTCCAAATCATTCCTCCCGAAAATCTCCGTCCGAATTAAGCTCTTCCCTTCCTTCTAAATAGTCCCTATTCTCTTCGTTTGAAATTGTCACGAAAATATCCTCACACCCTCCTCCAGTCTCCGATAATAACACCATGGGTGTCAGAACACATGGCTTTGGCTCCTCTGAAGGCCCGTTGGGCAAAATACGGCAGCGCACTGATCTTGTCGCACTGCTCCACATTTTGAGCCGACTTCCGTTGGGCTTGAAACGATGAGCTGAAGGTCAGTGAAGGTCCGTCAGGGAACCTTCATTTCGTCACTCAACGCGGCGGCATACTCGCCGTTCATCCGAGGGATGTGCCACAGAAGCACTGCGCGGTCCCCTGTACGAGGCTTGCTTCCATTGCCTCGTCCGCCTCAGCACGATCAAACGAGCATTCTCTGGCCAGGGTCGTTTCTCGGTCCTGTTCTTGGGGTTCATTTCCCAAGGCCCAGCTTCTCCTGCATCAAGTTCTGACCAGCCCAAGACCACCTCATTGGCAAGGGCAGCCACCATCGTGACATCATTGAAGGATACACCTTCGCTGAAGTTCAGACTTGTTGCCGCAGGATAATCCGGGAGCTTCGCGATGGAAAACTGGAACACTTTGTGCGTCGTGAGGCAGTCAATGATGCAGGTAGCCTGTGGTACTTCACTGATCACTGCCAGCAGTCGAGCAGCCATCCGCCCAGAGAGGACATAGTTGTGGATGCCTGTTTGTATCAGAGTCTCTTCAATGGAGACGTCGAGAAGTTGTGGCATGATCACAGCAGAGCCCTTCTCAGGACTGCAGCGCTCGGCCAGGATATCCTGCACCTGTACAATTGCCGCAAGTGTTTGGCTGTCAGCCGCGCTTGCAGACCCGCTGTAGCTTTCAGTGGCCAGAATCAAAACCATAGATGCAGTCTCGAGCGGTAACTCTTCAAGCCGAAACCGTGCACCAAGAGCTCCTTGAACATGCTCGACACGAAAGTTCTGATAGAAGTGCTTCCGCCGCTTCTGCGCTGCTTCAATAAACTCCTCCCGCATTGAAACCGCCTCAGGTGCGTGAATGATGACTTGCGACCCCGGGCCAACGTCGTCGTCGATCTCACCGAGAATGGCACCGATGCTGTTGTTCCATCCGAGAATGATGACCGTCTGCCCAGCATGAGGCTCATCAGGACTGCGCTCAACAATTCTTCTGCAGTCTATCTGCCCGAAATCCAGAGAGCTTGGTGCAGCATGTCTGGGTACTGCTGAATCGTCCTTGGCCAGCACACAAAGCTCTTCATCGCCCTTAAGGGTACGGTCCATTGATGGTAGCACCTCCAGCTCACAGCCAGGTGGTTTGATCCCTATGAGGATGGTATTCGGCAGAGAAAACAGCAAGTCCATGACAGTGCGTCCAGCAGTGCCCTGCACATGCTGAAAATAGAACTCGTCGTTCTCAAAGCTGAACACGGACCTGATTGCGTGCACCAAGCCACTCTGCCTGCTACATTGCACCATAAGTTCACCGATGAAGTCATTGACAGTGACCACTTGCGATCCGTCAGTCAAGAGCCGCTTAAAAAGCCCCTGGTTGCGAACCAACTGGCATTGTACCACTGACACACCTTCTCGCGGCCAGCGATTGTTTCGCAGAGCCAGCAGCACATTGACGGTCGATGCATCAGCCTCCTCCCGGGAAACTCCTGGCTTACTCATGATGATCACTTTCTTGGCTCCCTGCACCGCAACTTTCGAGAGATCTTCCACTTTGCAGGCATCACCGGAACGGACAACAATCGTCGAGTTCTTCATCCAGCCTGCGTCGCCATCTCTCAGGAGCTCTTCTACTTCAGGCTTTGGCATCGGGGAAAGGATGGCGATCAGTATTCCACCCTCGCTTTCACATGCAGCACAAAGCTCCTGAGCCAAGATCCTGAGCGTCGGCGTGACATAGCCGATGATGACTGTGTGATTGCCCTCGATAACTGGTAGAGTGCCATTCCGAAAAGTGCGCAACGCCTCCTCAAACATTTCAGATATGACTGACATCAGAAGGGCAAACACAAGCATCCCACCAATTGACACGATTAAGCCAACGAGACGGCCAGCCGCAGTTTCAGCGGAGGCCCCGCCATCAGGTGCTGCAATCCAGAGCCAAGCAGACCATAAGCCCTCGGACAAAGGCTGCTGAATGAGGACTCTGAGGAGTGCTCCACCAAAGATGAGCAAAGCCAGCGAGATTGACATGAGGACAATGGCCGCCGAATGTTCAGTCCAGGTGTACCAGTAGCCAAAGCGATACTGCAAATACTCTGTGAAAGTCCCTTGCCTCTGTGCCTGACGGCTGTGGTACCGTCTTCTCTCATTCACAACCGCACGTCCAAAATAAGCGAATAAGCCCAAGACCCACAGTGAAAACAACATCAGCAGGGCTTGCCCAAGAATAGTCTCCGAAAACGTCTCATCCTCTGACAGTTCTTCACTAGTCCCAGGTGTCGTTAGAGCAAGCCGGTGCATCAATTCACATCTCTCTGCCTCTGACAAGGTTGACAACTTCGATGCAAAATCCAAAGCCAAGGCTCCTATTTGAGACACAGCAGACGTGGGCTCTACCGCGGCCACGGCCGGGCATGACTGATGGGCGGCCATGTGCGCAGTGGACGAGACTAACTAACGAAGGGCGAAAGATCTCAAGGTAACGAATGATAAGCCCGTCCCAATCCTCATCACCATTGCCATTCTCAACCCTGTTCCATAAGACAACTTCGAGAACTGTCAGGAACGCGAGCCACAAAAAACTAGGACTGCCCCACGGAAGTCATGAGCAAATCACTATGGTCCTATGGGGTTCGAACTTTTTGGCCTAAACATGTGAGCATGGTAAACGGACAACACATCTGTCCAACAATACATCTGGCCAACGCAAAAACGGCTAAGACTTGGACTACCGACTACCCGACTGCAAGTGGTTGCTAGAGGTTCACGGTATTCAAAGCTTGAGAAAACCCACACCTTGTGCGAACAACCCCGCAGTCATGATTTGGGGTTATGCTTGATTGTAGTTTGACTTAATCTATACAAAACTAGGTGCTACCTTGGATCACAAAACGACCTCTTGAGGAAGTACTCAACGAAATACAAGTTTCTATCATCATGTGTCTTCGACATGAAATGCAGGAAGCTCTTCTTTCTGGAAGTCCTTGAAGCAATCCCTGGCCGATGCACGCTGTCCACACAATCACTACCACTTGTTGCAAACATCCGGGAATCTCAGAAGTGCTGCTCGTTTGCCCGCAGGTGTGACAAGTATAGAACCAGCAGAGGCACGCAAAACAGGAAAAGACCATAGGCAGGACGATAGAAGATCCAGGCCGTTCCAATGGTGCAGCCCGAGCAAACGCAGGCGCAAGCAAATGTCCCTGCATGCACGATGAAGAAGAGCACGGTGCCAATGACCCAGAGGAATGAAAACACCCACGTGAGAGGGCGCAACATGTAGTTGAAGCTCTCCCACATGAGCAGGAAGCCGAAGAGACGGACACCAGCATTGATCCGTCGTTCGATCTCCTCTGCGGATAGGTTTACTTTTCTGAACACCAGTAAAGCATCGAACATCAGGCTAGACCCAAACACTCTTCAAAAACAACGAAGACTAGACTTGAGGCTCCCCTTCGTATTTTCACGAATGTGATTTGGCTAAAGACGGCTTTGCCTACAAGCTTAGCATTGCAACGCAAGATGAACAAACAACCCGAAACCCTGAGCCCTACACGTTCCTTCACGACAGCACCAATAACATCCGATTCTTTGGTGGGTGGCTGATGTCTGCCGGGTAAATTCCATGACGTACCGGTCATGCTATTGTCTCCCCTCATGTCTCATTTCTGGTGTCCGAGACGGGGAACCGGATGCTGTGACACGCTTCCGGGGAGGGGCCGGATTTGTCTCCCTTCGTAGCGTGCTATGGTCTCCCCTCATGTCTCGTTTTCTGGTTCCCCTCAAGCGCGTCACAGCATCCGGCTCCCAGGGAGACAAGGTGAGAAGAGGAGCTTCTTGAAGGGAGACAAACCCGCACCGATCCCGGACAGTGCGTCACACTATCCCTTTCCTTACTCACATCTAGAACCCCATGGCTTCGCTGTTTGGGCAAAAAACTCAATATTCATTTTCCTTCATTCCGTCTACCTTCCGGTTCATCATTTCCAACTTTTTGGCTGTTCTGTCTGCACTATCGTTTTGTTATCGGTTTGTAACTGTTTTTTGCCGCTTCTTTAGCAGCCCCAAAACGCAAACCTTTTCTTTTTTTCTCATTTTTGCATCATGTGTTTACATTTTGCCGGGAGCTGCTCGAGGGTCCTGGGGCTCCCAAAATCTCTCCGGAGGCTCCGGGGACGCCAATTACTTTACCATGTACTGTACATTTTGCCGCTCCCGGAAGCTCTGCAAAGGAGACGGAAGATAGGTCTACTGAGTAGCCCCCTATGATAGGCGTCGATAGACCTAGCCGTTTCTCACAAACACCCCTGTGAATAGGCCCCTTCTCTTTTGCCAGAGATCTCTATGCATAGACCCTATCCCTGCCTATACCACCCCCCAATGCGTCATAGACCCTAAACCCTACCCTAAACCCTAAACCCTCTACCAGGTGTCTACCCCCCTCCAGATAGACCCTACCCACAAACCTACATAGATCCCGAAAGTCGCAAACTTATACGACTCCCACCTCGGATGAGCTGGTTAAGATTTCTGGGCTTGCATGATTGTTTTTGGATAAGGTGGAGGGTCTCAGGTTTGGGTTTAGGGTTCTGGGCTTGCACGATTTCAGGGGTCTTTAGGGTTTAGGATTTAGGTTTAGGGCTTTGTAGGGTGTAGGGTTTAGGGGAATTTAGGGTGTAGGATGTAGTGGCTTTAAGGGATTAGGGTTTAGGGCTTTCAAGGGTTTAGGGCTTTCTAGGGTTTAGGGCTTTCTAGGGTTTAGGGCTTGGGGGTTTTCAGGGTTTAGGGCATTAGGGGGGTTTCAGGGTTTAGGGCATTAGGGGGTTTCTTGGGTTTAGACTTTAGGGTTTTTAGGGTTTAGGAATTTTGGGTTTAGGGCTCCAGGGTTGTCAGGGATTGTGGGATCAGGGGTTTTACGGTTTAGGGGTTAGGGTTCTTTTTGGGTCCAGGGTTCAGGGTTGAGGGTTCTTTTTTCAGGGGTTTTGGCGGTTTAGGGTTTGGGGGTTTAGAGTGCAGGGGTTTTTGGGTTTAGGGCTCAGGGGAGTTTAGGGTGTGTGTGTGTGTGTGTAGACTCTTCCACACCCGAGGTGTGGGGTAAAGTCCCCGGGGCAAGGGACATGGGACCAGTTTCTGCGCAGCAACCCCTCGCAACATGTGTGCACGGCCCAGAAGCCAGGTCAGCTGAGGGCGTGTCACAACATGGCGTACTGCGGTCATTTTTTTACTTGTTGCAAGCCCAGAATCCTGTGCATCCTCTGTCTATTTCTGCTGCCCAGGCCGTAAGGGCTGGGAAGGCTCGGCACTGCAGGTTGCAGTTGAAGATAGCTCTACAAAGATCAGCAGATTGAAGGTCGTCCGACAAACCCAAAAGGTCTTTAACTTGCTCCCGTCTTATGCGCCAGTAGCTGCAGGAAGCCATCACGTGGATCCTTGCAGTTCTTGTGCGGGTGTTGCAGAAAATGCATCGTTGAATCTTGGCCGAGCTGCGCCGACCATTCAGGGAGCTTAGCACGAGTGCGCCGACGCGCAGTTTGCAGAGAGCAAAAATGGCAACTCTCACTTCCCAAGGGAAGGGAGATCCTGCCACGCCTTTAATGATGCAGCTGGGGGCGGCCTGGAAGCTCGTGTAAGCCGGCGGCTGCCTGGATGTTGCTGCTTCGGTAAACCACGTATCAAGCCAAATCCCTTCTAAATGGCCGCGCAGGTATTCACGGTAGCTACGCTGTGTCTCCTCCCACTCTACCCAATCCAGCAGGTCCCAGCGCCTTAGCAAGCTCAGGCTCTTGCTGGCCCAAGAGGCCTGGATGCTGTGGCTCCACATAAAACTAAGTTTGTACGAATCGTCGTCTGGCAGCTGCCAGAGTCTAAATCGTCTCATGGCAACCTCTATCACCACTTCGAGGTGGAGTGGGAGAGACCAGCCCCATTCACCTATTGCCACTGCTGCGTTCCGCCACGTGTCCAGGTCGAAAACCTGTTTGGCCCACGAGTTTTGAAGTTCAGAGAGGAATCCCACCAGGTTGTCCTCAACGCCATACATGGAGGCACCTTGTAAGAGGGTGGGCAAAACCTTAGTACGAAACAAACTCATTGCCAAGTCCATTGGTAGGGCCTTGCTGCGAATCAGTGCACAAATTGAACCCCAAATTGCACTTGCGAGGGTAGCTTGTTGGCAAAGGGATTTGTGAAAAGAAAGGGAGTTGGTCCAGGTAAGCCCAAGCCACTTGTGCTCGGCCTTAGTGTGTAGGGCACAGTCGGCTTCCGAGCCTACACCTGGGAGGTACAGCCGAGTTTCGGAGGGGAGAAGCGGAGGGACGGCTTGATGTCCACAGATCATGGAAATGGTTTTGTTTTCACCGACATGGAAAGCAGCTCCGTGTCTGTGAGCCCAGTTAGCTACGATGCGCAAGCTCCTTTGGAGCTCACCCCTGCTGGATCCTAACAAAACCGGGTCATCTGCATGAAGGATGGCGGCTAGTCGGTGAGGGGCGAGGTCGCTAAGGGCCTTTAGAGCAGAAGCTTCAAGAGTGGGGTCGGCCTGTAGTAGCGTGGGGGTGGGCAGCAGCGTTCCTCGCTGGATGGCTGCTTTTAGAATGTTGACAGTTTCCTGACAAGGGGATCCCTGTCCGCGCCATTGCATCGATGTCCAAGCATCCGGGATGCTGACTTGCAGACCTACGCCGCACTCAGCGGCAAGAAGCTCTCGGACTAGCGAATCTAGAAGAACAGGGTAGGCAAAGGGGCCTATCGTGCCTCCTTCCGGGATCCCGGATGTGACCGAGACCTCGGATTGTCCGCTGAGCCAGATGGAGACGATGTCTTTCTGCAGGATGGAGTTAAGCAGCAGCAAACTATCCCCACAAACACCCGGTCCATCAGCGAGACTGTGTAAGAGGTCCTGCCTGATTACACTAGGGAAGGCTTTCCTAAAGTCCCCCATGACGGTCCAAAGAGGACGCCCCTGTGACGCGGCTTCAGCACATGTTTCGTGAAGAAGGAGCCAGGCGTCTTCCACACCTCTAACAAAACCACTTTGGCAAGGCAGCACATACTGGCGGACCGCTCCTAACCATCTTTGTGTAAGGAGCGTTTCCTGTAGGAGGCCCATTTGGGCCTTAATGAAAATGAGCCTGAAGTTCTCCACCTCTGCGGGGTTGCCCTTTTTGTGTATAGGGCATAAGGACGCCGATCGCCACAAGCTGGGTTTGTGCGCGAGCCCTGATGGCCCTGCCCACTTTTGTAGTGCCCAGACTGCGTCGTTCCACTGTTCATTGTTGCATAAGAACACTGCTCGTGGCAATAAGTCTGGGGGCATGGCCTTGGACGGATGCCACTGTGAAAGAATGTCGGCTACCTCATGTTGGAGAAAAGGAGTTTCCTGGCTGTTACCTTTTTCGTGGTGTGCCTGATCGAGCAAAGTCCTTAGTCGGTTGGAGACCAGGAGCTGAAAGCCCTCATCTCTGCGACACGTGTTGTGACCACCTTGGTCTGTCAGGGCTTGTTGCCAGGCCTGGAGGGTCTCAGCTTCCGTGAGGAGGCGTCCCTTCTGCATCATGCAGCTTACCGGCTCAGAAGACTTTCGTTTCAGAAGCCTGCAGGTTCTTTGGAGGAGTTGGCCTCCATTTTTTATGAGGCAAAGTTGCTGCGCAAGCAGCTGTATATCTTCGGGGGCATCTGACTCTACCAGGCTTGCGATGTCACTGAGCCGAGGTTTGTTCTGGGGCTCCGCGCGAGGACCTGGGCCCCAAGCCATAGGTCCCGAAGGGACCCTGCTAAGGTGTTCAGCAACATGGTAGAAGCTTCAAGAGCGATGACAGCAACGTCTGGGCTGGCGCCACGGTCTTCGTAGCCACGCAAAGCCACCGACGTGATTTGCTCAAGAGGGGCTCGTGTCCGCTTTAGCGCCGCGGCCCACCTATCAACATTACACCACTTACCCGGAAACCTGGGCGCAGCGCTGTTAGGGGTATCTTCAGGAGTGACAGACACATCGACTTGAAGTAAGAAGTGGTCTCCGCAGCCTACCTCTTGTTGTGTACAGGGCATCCGCTGACGCTGCTGCAATGGATGCTGTTGTGGATGGTCACGTTTGCATAAAGGCAGGAGCTGCCGAAGACTATGTCAATGGCTCTGCCTATGCCACGGGAGTCATGCCTAGTAGAGTGAGGAAAAACAGAAACTAGCCTATTACGGAAAGGCAGCGCAATGGGAACGGCAGGCACTCCACTTGGGACAGGGTTGAAAATGCAAAAATTGTGCTTAGCAAGAAATATATCCCAGGATCTCTGCCTGATTCGGGCCTGTTCCGGTGAAGAACCCAAGCCATCTGGCTGCATGTTCAAGTCGCCTGT